CAACTATGTTGGTTTCGCACGTGGAGGGGTAATAACTAGGCCTACTTTTAATGAAACTGTTTGAGATCCAATTAACGATATATTTTTTTATATTTAAATTACAGACATGTCATCTGAAGACTATTTCTAATTGTTCTCAGTTATTTTGCTTTATCACCAGACTCAAAAGTTGGCTCGTTCTTGCATAGTAGAGCACGTTCGCACATGCGCACTCTTCAAATTCGGTACTTTAAATGTTTTGAAAAACTAAAAGACGTAAATTACATTTGTATCTATTCTAAATAAAAGGCACCGGTTGTACTGAATGTCAGCTTGCTTATTTTGCTTAAGATTAGGATTTATTACGTCCAAATGTGATGCAATATAGAAACAATGCCTCTAACTACAGGTCGAGAGCTGTCGTTCAGACCACACAACTTTGCGAATGTTCGTTGTTTCGGAAACAATCAACCGACTCGTTGAAATACGCTGATAACGACGGAACTTGCGACCATAGTTTCCGGATTCCGGATTAAATAATGCGCTTCGTACTCGGTGCGTGACGAATTTTTAGGATGACGAATACGAAAATTTCGGAGGACATTAAAGGAGTAGTTCACTTTTAAAAAAACTTTTGCCGATAATTTACTCACCCCCATGTCATCCAAGATGTCCATGTCTTTCTTTCTTCAGTCGAAAATAAGTTAAGGTTTTTGACTTGATTTTGATTTTCAAGATTTCCTGAGTCAATTCGTTCAGTTCGTTCATTGAATAAACCAAATGACACGAAAAAAGATTCGTTCGTTTTGATAAACGAGTTCGAACAGGAGAGTCACGAACGCGCATCACAGCACAGAGCAAGACGAGCATTTGAGCTTATAAAACTTAAACATTGTTATTATTTTTTTAAATAAGCGATCGTTTCGCTTGATAAGACCCTTATTTATCGTCTGGAATCGTTTAAAGCCCTTTGAACAGTTTGAAACTGTCTTTTGGACCTTTATAAGTCCATTATATGGAGAAAATCCTGCAATGTTTTTATCAAAAACCTTAATTTCTTTTCAACTGAAGAAAGAATGAAATGGACATCTTGGATGACATGGGGGTGAGTAAATTATCAGCAAAAGTTTTTTTTTAAAAGTGAACTACTCCTTTAAGAATCCAGACCAACATACCATGCAAACTTGTTTATTCATCTTATCCACTGAGAATTCTTATAATTATATAGCCCGAGGTTGGTAGCAGCATAAATCATTTTCTCTGTGGTTTGTTTGTATGTTGAAGTAGTTGTTTTGTCCCTCATAGATGTAGCAGATAAATGGTTGAAAATGAGATGAACATGAGAGTGGTGTCCGTGTCAGCGTGTCTGTGGGATGCATGAGCAGATGCTCAGCTAATGGTGAAGTGGAAGCATTGCACTCCTCCTCTGTGCACGATCCAGCCGCTAACATGCTAATGATTAAGTGTGCTGATATGATGCTCTGCTGCAGGGTGGTATTCCCTTCTCACCAGTGGAATACAGGCCTCTCCATCTGTGAGATGTCCCTTCATTACCGTCTAATCACTTATGTGTTGTACTGTCTCTTATTATGGCGATTTCCCAGCTCGACTCGATTCGACTCATTTTCCATTGCAGACATTACACACCAGAAACCTTCTACAGTTTATTTCACTGTGAGTTCTGATGTCATCAGCAATAGTATACATCATGCCTGAAATTCGTGTAAATATTTAAATTAAACTTCGCACTCAAGTTTTATGACGATAACATAAACCGAAGCACGACACCTAGAGAAACTACTGGTCTCAGACATTTAGACACCACTGTACACCACAGTTTATTGGCGTCTGTTATAAACACTATGAATTCTTTGTTGAAAGCTATATAACAGTTACCTCTGGACTACGAAAGTGTTTGTGACCGGAAAGTTCATCTATCTTTCAGGAATTAATCTAATCCAGATGTGTTTATGCTGGAACCACCGTTGCCTCGCATCACTCTTAAAGAAACTATTCGAGGAAAGCTTAACATTTGCCAGAGTGCAATTATCTTATATAGCGGGAGAACAGTTCAGCCAACAAAAGCAGCTGTTGTACAGCTCTCTGTTGCCATTGAAGTCCAAATGCGAGTCAGCACATAGACATAAGTGCTTTGTTCCAGGAGGCCTTATTCAAGTCGCCAGAGGTTTGACCACTATTACTACCCGTAGGTCCTGAAACTGACCAACAACACTAGACTCTATTACAGGAGACTTTAAAATTGTGTGCAATTATAGGAATTGTGCTTTTATTGTGTTAATGGGCCTTAGAATAGGTGCAGTACTAAAGAGGGAGACAGTTACTTCCAAATGTCTGTGCCATTAAAAAAGATATGTTATTATTCAAGGAGGCAGCTTAAAACTTCAACAGTCCAGCAAATGAATCTTATCCATGAACAGCATTTTTATGCTCTTTAAGGGGACGTCGTGCAAAAGTTAAAGGGATACTTAGCATATTATATTTTATATAATAAATTTTTAATGTATATTATTTAATATTTAATATATATTATTTAAATTATATTTAGCATATTAGTAGAAAACCTGTAGTATTTTCGATCCACCCTCATATCCCCCTGAGATTTTTGTATTTTTTGTCTGGAAAAAATCCTCAGATGACACAAAAATCGTCATTTTGCGTCATCGGAGGATCGTTTGTCCAGAGGCTAAAGACTACAGTCAGTAGTAGGGTCTGTCTTGCATGTTCTTAACCCACCCATAGAGGGCGATCTCACTCACATCTTTTTTTGGAAGCTAAGCTAGCAGGCTCTTGATCTGTGGAGAAAGCCGAGTAGTAGGGGGTTACCATCCTCTTTTTCCCGCCCATGTCCAGCTTTAGCTTTCTGCGGTCGCCATTCATCGTTTACATGCACACCTTTTGTTTCAATCAAACTGAATTCATTCCGATTGGTGAATCTGAATGTCGTGTTTACATGAACGGTAAACAAGTGATCGGTTGGTTGATGTGCGTTTTAACATTGCTAAGAAAATTCCCGCTCCTTTGTGAGAGATACGAGACCGGTGCGTCTCACAGGTGTCGCTCATCGGTAATCACGCCACCGGCCTCGCGCCGTTCTCCCGCGGCCCTCACTCGCTCCCGCTCGCGACAGTAAACATAATGAATGGCGACTGTAGGAGCCAACCGCCGAATCCCGGACGTTTTGGGCGATCTCGAAACACATTTTCGGGTAGACTCATCACAGAGACTCACTAGTAGCCTAGACTTGTTGTTTAACTACTGCGCTCTCTTACCGGTAGGCGTGGCCTCCTAGGGCAGCAAAGCAAGTGCATTCTGGGAGTTGTTGTCTTTCATCCACATAAGCCAAAAATACATTTTCTGGCTTTTCTCAGTCTACAAAGCTCCAAATTCAAAAGTAATTCCACATTTCTTCTACGTAAATGACCCATTTTATATACACATTCATCTTTACAGAGGTGAAGTATCCCTTTAACAGCTTAACTCCGGCACAAAGTGGCCATCCTCAAGGTTGCTAGCCTTACAACTGGAATTCGGCCTTACCGAAGGCAGTTTATGCTAATGGCCCCCTTGTGGCCCTAGTTGGTTGCTTTAACGGATTAGTTCACTTCAAAATGAAAATTCTGTTTGTCATTTACTCGCCCTCAAGTTGTTTCAAACCTGTAGGAATTTCTTTCTTCTGTTGAACACAAAGGAAGATATTTTGAAGAATGTTGGTATCCAAACAGATGTTGGGGTCCCCATTGACTTCCATGGTATTTTTTCTGTTTGGTTACTGACATTCTTTGCATTCAACAGAAGAGAGAAATCCATACAGGTTTGAGGGTGAGTAAATGAGGACAGCATTTTCATTTTGAAGTGAAGAATTGTGTTATAACACATTTGGGAATTCATTGAGAGAGCCTACACATTAGGCACTACATCATTGGGTAGCCAAGGACTACATTCCCGCAGACTTCAATTTTGACCGTGCTCCAACACACCTGCCTGTTATTTTTATAAGTTGCCGAGTTGGTTTCAAATCAAGTTGGAAAGCAACAAAGTGACTTGGATGGTACAACTCGACCCAAAGTTCTCATTGGGCAATTGATGTATATCTCAAAGTGAACTGTAGTTACTCCTAAAATTCAAAAATTGGTTGTAGACCTGGAGTGTTACTTTCCCCAGTGAAATCGATCATTTCACAACATTCTTGGAAATCGCATTACCTCCCTTAAAGCGCCATGAATATGATGCATTTGCACGCAAGTTGTAAAATGTAAAGTCAATTATTTATCATATGCATTGCACTCTGGCAGAATGTGATGCCAACATATCTTCAGTCTCAAAACCTAAGAGTTGATGCAGCAGTGATCCCAGACATTAACCCTTGAGTTAAAATGGCTGAATGATGTCATCCCAGCTCTTTGTAGACTCGCCATAAACCAGTCTCGACTGCTTTTTAGCTATATTCAGCAAAATCACTTTGTACAGCTTTTAAAAAAAAACCTTATTCATTTCCCATCCAAGAAGTTCAGATGATTCAAGTTATTTATCCACACAAAGTCCCGATGACGCTCAAGGCCAAGATTTGAATAATTTATGAGGACAAATGCGAAGAAACTGTGCTTCGTTCCAACCCCCACTTGCTTTTAAATGAGCAACATATGATATTCAAATGTTTCTCGATGTCCAAGGGCTCTGTTGTTAATTTACGTATGATTTATAATGCGTTCGCTCATTGTAATCCTCCCTTTACCTTGACGTTTGGTCTTTTCTGGACACTAGTAATAAAGTTTTGACATTTGAATGAATGTGTTTGGATCTGGAATGCAAGAATAAAAGAAACTGAGATGAACAAATGTTGAAATATATTAAACATTTGGAATTAAAAAGCTACGGCCCATGCTCGTGTGATTTTACTAAGCAATGATGCAGATCCCGTCTGTTATTAAATTCCTAATCTCCAAAGCCAAAGTTCAGTTCATCTTATTGTTGAGTACTGATTTGGTCCTTTTCCTCCGTAGGATCAGCATTGAGGGACTTCAGCCCATTCCAGTTCTCCACGGAGCCGTCGGATACGCTGGTTGTGCGGGGAGCGCCGGCGTTGCTCAACTGCTCGGTCCACGCCGAGTCTCCTGCCAAGATCGAATGGAAGAAAGACGGCTCTTTCCTCAGCCTGGCCTCAGATGATCGCAGGCAGGTCCTGGCCGACGGTTCCCTGCTCATCAGCTCAGTGGTCCACTCTAAACACAATAAACCCGATGAAGGGGTTTACCAATGCGTGGCCACTATAGACAACCTGGGCACCATCGTTAGCCGTACAGCTAGACTCAATGTAGCAGGTAAGATACGTGGTTTGATACATCTATATGCTCACTCATATTAATGCACCATGTATTGACCCGCCCAGCAAGCTAGTTTTTGGTTCCTAGAACTTTCCCTTGTGGTTAGGGGAACGTTCCCGGAACATTCTCCTTACGTTTTTAAAGCTACACTGTGTGATTTTTACCCCCATCTACGGTATATGACCAGCCAGTGAATATTAGTTTCTGTTCCTCTCAATTCCGATTTCGTTTTAACTCCTACGGTGGCCAATGTAGTCCAAGATTAACATGGCTTCCACTTCGACCTCGTCCATGAGTGTTAACTCAAACGTAAACGTGAAAGGCGAAGCTTGAATTAACGGGTATGTCCCTCTTTGGCTAATGTACTTTCAAGATGGAGGGGCAACATGGCGAACCCCTTACCCGTATGTATTTTCGATGGCATATTATACACTCACGAGAATACTTTATTACTTGAACGAAGTAAATATGCATTAATGAGAACACATATTTTTGAAAGAACTAAGTGTTTTTTAGCTAAGAATAAATTAAAAGAGTTACACAGTGTAGCTTTAAAATGGAACCTAAAAATAACCTACATGGAACGTTCCTATAACGTTCTTGTTTGGTTCCCAAAAAAATAACCTCATGGGACCATTCGGGGAAACATTCTGTGTTTGCTGTGTTGGGCAGTGGTTCTCAACTGGTTTTGCCTCTAGACCAATGTTGTTATAAATGCAAGGACGGTATGACAGCGATGGAGTCTTTCAGCGTTATTGCCTGCAGTGGAGTTCAATAAGTCAGTCAGGGCGTCCGCTGATCCAGCATCCGTGTTGTAAATGTCTGAGAGCAGGTACATTTGGCCGCGGCTGCTGTATTGGGGTCCTTTGAGTTGAAATGAAAGTGACCTTGTTTCATTTGCAGGAGGCAAGCTGCAGGGATTATGAGGTGTTTGAGTTGGGTCTTACTCTGAAATTCAATTTGCTGTTGGAGGGGGAAAGGAATGCAATTAAGTTACATCAAGCCCTTGCAGAGTTGCCTGTGTAACCTCAGTGAAATCTCTCTGAAGGAGTTCTTTGAAAAGTCAGAGACAAATGCTTATTTGACGTAAGTCTTTCCCACGTGGAAGTCTGTTTTGAGTGAACAAGCTCATTATTTGTCAAATGCAGACATGGAGTGCAAGCTGGAGATTTTCATTGGGCTTTTTAGTGAGGTATTCTCAGCTTGGACCAAAGAGTGTGGTTTACTGAAAATCTGCACTGCTTAAATGGTTTTTCAACTACTGGTTTGGGGGATTTTCCCGTAGAGATGGAAAATCACAACTTCTTTAATATCGCAAAAAGATTCTCCAAGGCAGCAATGGGTAATATTGCACGTGTCTCCTTTAAACCAACGATTTTCAGCCTTTTTTGGGTCTGAAACACCAGCTCAGTGTCTCTTTCCATTTCCAAAAAAGGCCATAGACCCAGCCATTGGGTTACATTTTTAAATTACATTTTAACCCAATTTGTCTATATTTGACCCATAATTGGGTTAAAACAACCCAGCATTTTTAGGAGTGACTCCTAATATTGTACGTTTTACTCAATAATTAGATCATAATTTAGATCTAGTAAATGCTTCTGAAGAATCTTTACATATTTGCACAAAAATACAGAGTAAAAGCATATTTTGCAATGAAAGTCAGAGAATTATAGTGCTGGGTAAAAATGCTGGGTTGTTTTAACCCAATTTTGGGTTAAATATGGACATTGGGTTAAAAAAAGATATTTTAATGTAACCCAACGGCTGGGTTTGTCCATGTTTGACCCAAAGTTGGGTTGAAACAACCAGCATTTTTTCGAGTGCACTGTACAATATTTCCAATGGATCGTTAAGCTGCACTCTAAATAACGCTAGGTTGTTTCAACCCGAATTTGGGTCAAATATGGGCAAACCCAAATGTTGGGTTAAAAATTTAATTTTAAATTTTATCCCAACTTCAACTTTCACTTTCAACTTTTTAATTACATATTTTACCCAAATTTGGGTTGAAACAACCCAGCATTTTTTAGAGTGTGAATAGCTTCTTGTCTTTAGTCTTTAAAATTAACTTTAATATATTAAAAAATGTAAAATTCATCATTGAATGGTTAATTCCTTCAAGTTATCTGAGCTCTCCACATGCGTTATAAAACTATGTACTCTTACTGTTTATATTTGCCTAACAAATTAAAATTTTCAATAAACACCTGACTTGCACATACAGTATGTTGCAAGATCTATTTAGATTGTTTCAAGTCAAGTGACAAGTCACATTTATACAGCGCTTTAGATTGTCCAGATGAGAAACATCTGTGACAAAGTTGATTTTTAAATAACAAATAACAGAGAATGCCATTAAGTATCTTGAGCTTGAAAGGGAAAACTCTTAAACTATTAAATTTGTGTTTATGTGTGCTGCTTTGCTACACTGTCTGGCCCTCAACCCTTGCTGTCTATGAGTCAAAGAGAGAAAGATCATCAATAAATCTTCTACAAATTTACAGTATATGCACTGGCAATGGATGTCTACGGAGAAACTATTGTACGCTCGCAAAAACAAGCATAAAATATTTCTACAGAAATGCACTAACTAGGGCTGTCAAACGATTAATCGTGATTAATCGCATCCAAATAATAGTTTGCTTTTACATAATATATGTGGGTGCACGGTGTATAATTATTCTATATTATATATATATATAAAATAATTATACACAGTGCACCCACATATATTATGTAAACACAAACTTTTATTTTGGATGCGATTAATCGCGATTAATCGTTTGACAGCCCTAGCACTAACACTGGATGTTTATGCATTTTTGGATTGAAATTTTACATTTTGGTATCCTAAAACGTTTGAAGAGCCCTGCCCTATAAAAAGCGGATTAATTTGTGTTATAGCACAAACAAAATGTCTGTTTTGTTCTGTTTTCAGGTAAGCCAAATTAAAATCGCCTTTCTTCACTTGCACTCCCTCATTTTATTCTCTTTGAAACAGTGAACCGTTTGCTGTGGCTGACAAGGCGTGTAATAAAAAAAGGTTAATTGTTGCATCTTTGCTGTGGGCTATTACCATGCCATTGCACTGGGAACAGCGTCGCTGCCGCCACGAGCCGTGAGACGTCAAAGCAACAAATGCGAGAGTAATCAAAATGATGGATGGTGTCCGTTCTTCCATCGTCGAGTTTGCTTTCGCTTTCCTCTTCTGTTTCTGCTCAACCACACATGCAAACACATGCCCTTTTTGTGGCACTCAGACAGCGGCCATCACGTACGCATTCATTCAGAAGGGGATTAGCCGTGGCCTCGGCTATTTGTATTCGTGAAGCGTCGGTTCGAGATGGCAGGGCAGAGAGCAAGACGTGGGTAATGGGAATTGTCTAGCTCGTGCCGCCTCACAGCACGCACCACACTTTGAACACAACTCCTCAAGGCGGGCTTTGAGTTGTCCAAGCTGTGAAGGAGAACACCTGAAACCTGAACACCTTGTTTGTATGCTCCACTGGAACTCGGCAATCATTTTCTGCATTTCTTCCGCTCTCTAAAAATGAGGCCAAAATGTTGCTCGGTAGAATTACCTTTGGTGGTTGGTGGAGCTCTTTTGTTAAGGGGATTTTGCCAAGTAGGACATGTACCTGGATTACCTTTCTTGTTGGTCCTTGCTATGGGCTAGAGGTCTGTAGTATCCGCCCGGATAAAGCTATCTATTAGCATTTCGATTCATTTCAATGGCAGTTGCTCGGTCGGCACATGACCCCTTTGAAACATGCTAAAAAACTGACTTGGGCTGTCAATCTTCCTCTATAATACTATTCGAATTTCATTCCTTATTTTATTTAATATTCAAATAATATTTGAATATTAAATGCTAAAATGTATCCTATTATTAATATTTACGACATTACATGGTTATGGATCGCCAATGGCACTATACATTTGTTTGTTCTTTCACGTTCGGTCCACTAGAGGGATACCTAATACACATTTTTAATCGTGCTGAATATGGTTGAAGCGCTTCCGATGGTTTTCGGCAGATATCTCCGCGAAAACGGCACCAAAAATTCTGAAACTTATATCTTTCTTTTCAGTTCGACTAGACGGTTCCAACAAGCTCGATGTGCAACGAATCCGTTGAGATATTTGCGTTTTTTGCTTCACAGGCGCTTTGGGGGGCGCTTTTTACGTCGTTAAAAATTTAACGTTAGGCTACCATTTTTGACAGTTTTTATGATGATACACCGTGGATAACGTTCAAAAACTTTATTGTTCATCAGACGAAACAAAGGCATTTCATTTTCACATGTGTGTAAGCCAAGGCGCCGAAAAGGCAAGATGCATATAAAAGAAAAATGTTAAAATATAGATAAAAAACTATATTCGAAGAGTAACTTCAGCATTCGAATCGTATTGATTTTGTTTTAATATTCGAATTATATTCGAATTTTGGAATTTGTTCCAACAGGCCTAAAACTGACATCTTGGCTCATGATCATGCCGTCATCTGCTGGTACTCCCCATAGGGGAGAGATTGAAATTAGATATGCATTAACCCGGTACTCTCGCTCTCTTTTTTGTTTTTATCTCTCAATCACACAGACTTGATTGTTCTCTCTTGTGCAGTTGATCTTATTTGACATTTCTCAACAAGACACCATTTCCTGGTTCCAGATCAGCAGCAAGTTGAACAGAATTTTTCCGACTTGGAAAAGCAGTTCAGAACAGTTCAAGAATTACCAGAGTTACCAGAACCGTGTCTGTTTAACGGGTAACTAAACCCCTGGTCAGAGCCTGACTCCACCCACTGGCAATATCTGAAAAAGTGGGCAGACCCCAGCGGAGATAGAGGGGACGAAATAGATGCTAAAACACTCTATCCTGATCGTTTTCAATACTCACAATTCCAATTCCTGACTCGCTACAGTGGTTTTGACGAAACAAGCTGGTTTTCGCTGCTCGTACCAAGCTGCGTACCGAGCTGAAACCTGCGTACG